ACAAGTTTCAACACCAAAACTCTCAAACTATGTTCCTTCTTAATCGACTCATCAGTGCACCAAAATATGATATTACTTAAAGTAACCTTTTTGGATTTTCTTGATGTTGCCGGCGGCGAATCCGAGTCTCTTTGTACTGTAACGATGTTCTCGAAATTTGATTTGGGATCGGTATGAGTTTCATCAAAATCTGAGTAATTTAGTTGTGGAATATCGGATCCTCCACGCCGCCTTGTAATCTCCGGAACTGTTTCACTAGAACCCTTACTACTTTGAGGCGTTTCAGGTTTGCTATAAGTGAGGGTTAATGCCTCTAATCTCAGCTCTCTAGCCGATGCTGACCTTCTTGTTCCTGCCTCTTCAACACCGCAAAAGAAAGACAAAAGTTTCAGGCTTTGAATTGGTAGTGTTTCTATGCTTAAAACAAGATTGTTCTGAAATTTTAATTGTCATTAACTATTTGGTATATGAAGGGGTAACAAGGCCTAGTTTCTTGTAAGCAAATAAAACTGTGACATAAAAAACATCAATTGTGGAAATATTTAAGAATATATAGTTTTTTTTATTTATATTAAAGTTAGACCTGAAAACAAAATTTGTTTTTGGAAGTAGTGGTTTGAAATTTTTGACTATGCATCCTATGAATTCTCTAATGGATACTAGCTTGTATAATTTACCTATGGATTCTCGACGATCAGATATCGTTTGAGACTGTACAGTGTGGAAGCTAGCCACGCCGTCTTTCAGGAAACCGCGAGCAGTCACGGCTGCGTTTGGACTTGTGCATGGCTCTGATAATTAGACGGTTAAAGCGAAGTTTTTTTTATTTTTGAGAAAGGTTAAATATAATGTTTCTTTGTTTAATTGTTACCTCCAGTGATTAATGGATCCATAGACTTTGTAGTGATTTTGTCTCTACACACAATGTATACTTCACATATTTCTGGAGCATATCTTAAGACAGTGAGTGGTACTCCGGGACCTTTAGCCCTCCTACACCAAAATAAACCGATTAGTGTTGATAACCAAGTTAATTCAGGACAAATAAATCAAACCGAGATATGTATATATGTAATGTATACCGTGTGAATATGTTTGTAGTGAACGATCCCATAACCAAACTATTAACTCCTGATTTGTATATGAATCTTAGAAGCGCTTTTGCAGGATCATCGTACTCTAGCAACAGAGTCTCGACCTGACACTGAAGATTACAATCTAGGCAATTAACAGTTTGACCCTGAAATTTCTCTTGATTTATAAACTTGGACTGAGAAAAAGTAACGAACCTTGGTACTACTAATCTTGCACATTTTCAAGAAGGGAACAAAGACTGTTTCAAATTCTTGCTTCACGTCTCTCACATACATTTCCACCACTCTCTCCTCCACTTCCTCCACCGGTAGTCTTTCACCAGCTGCAACAACCGGTAACATTAATCTAAGAAAATGTCTTGAAATTGCTAGTCAATCAACTACCAAACTTACATTTTTTTTCATTTAATTCATGTGGAAGAAACGAAAAATAAAATAAAAACAAAAACAAGAAAAATGTGAAATGTGTTTGATGGAGAGACTTACTAGGGGTAGGAATAGTAGTAATGGTGGGGATGACATGAATCATCACAAAGCGATCAGCCTTAGGTAAAAGATTATCTAAGGCCCACCGTACGGCACGACGGCTTCCTGCCCCGCCCAATTTATCTCCGATGATACCCTTCACGGCCACCGCCACAAATAACTCACTCTCCTCCGCCTTTGGACCACCTCCACCGCCGCTCATTTCTCGACCCTTTTGCGTCAACATAGCCACCATCTAAATCAATTTATACTTACGTATGGATCAAGTAACCCAAAATATATGATTGTTGGGGAAATTCTGTTGGAGAGATGAGGTGTCTCTGATCACGACTACATATGGTATAGATAGTACATATATACTAGTCGTTGATCAAGGATTGGTATCTCAGGATAGTTCTAGAATTTTGTATACGTTGAATTTCTTAAATATATATAACAAAATTCGAAGTAGACTCATAGGTTTGGATAATATTTAATCCGCCTATTGACTTGGTGAACAAACAAGACATAGCTTGATCTGATTTTGAGATTTTCTAGTAATCATCCATTCGGATCTTGCAGTCCTGAATATATAATTTATTGTACAATAAAATATATATAAATATTTTGGCAAACAGAGGAAGTAATCGATGGGATGGAGATGGCCTCATTTAATACTTTTCAAATTCGAAAATTTATGGACGGCCGATTAGTTCTTTATTATTAGCGTGCAGCTTTATCATCCGAAATCTTCTTCTAGGTATATGTTATTCGTAGGGTTTAGGTAGAGGTTTTACTTATGTCAGTTGTATATATGTATGATGTATCTGTCAGCAATGTGAATATAAATGTATCAATTTAACAGCTACAAGTCTACAACCTTATGTCACAATTATTTATGTATGATGACATTTTTATTTGACTTTTACGAGTAAACTAAACTTAGCTTCAACTGTCATATAATAGCTTTTCTCAGAAAATGACACAAGTTAGTTAAGCTACTCGATTAATCTTGGGTTCAACAGTAGCTTAAATGCCGCAATTACGGATATATAGCTGACAAGTGTTTCGATTTGTTTTAGCAAAAACCAAAAAAGTGTTTCGATCTAAATCTCGATTGTTGTGCATATTCAAGTTTTTTATGGTTACCAAAATCTGGACATTCTCAGTATTCTGGTCGCACAGAGATGAATACAAACATCTTTCATTGTCTAATACTTCGAGATGAATACAAACATCTTTCATTGTCTAATACTTCACCCCCTCATCATCCTTTTTTTATAATGATCACCCCTCTATATGCATCATGTTGATATACTTTAAATCTGTGTTTCATAATTATGGCAAAAGGCAAATTTATGATGAGTCCGGTTTTGATTTGGGGCAGTGCTATGTTTTTCTAATATGTACACGAAAGTTGACCAACAGTCTGAATTTATTTATTTTTCTCGAATTTCTGCTGAACAAAAATGAGGATATACCCGAATAATTGAGTACAAAAATAGTAATTATTATCTGGTCGTGTACGAGAACGACATATTTAAAGTAATGAAATATCTTAATCATTTGTCGACTCTCTGACTTTGTTAACTAGTTAAGCCGGCAATGTTTGTACAACAGTCTCAATTCGATTTCACATGTACGATCGAGAAAGATAAGTCACAACTCACAAATGACATAACTGATGTAGAAAGGTAACAATAAAATCCAACATTTGTAATAAAAAAGGTAACAATAAACTCCAACATACCATTGATGTTACCTTTTCACATTTTTTAAAATGCTACTTTATAGTTTATATTTTATAATACATAAAATGTAACGTAAAGCAAATTAAAAACAATAATCCGCAATTGCTTCCCTTCGAAATGTGTGAACCATTAACACCTCTTCCCTCACCATTTCCGTAATTTACAGCCTCTCTTGCTCCTTATTTCATGATCTTCTTCTCGTTATGAGAAATCTGCCTCATATTGTGCTCCTTTCTGCAACTCAAAACCTCACCCATTTGTACAAAAGAAATTTATGTAGCCTAGCTTACTTACTTGTGAGATGTTATATATCTTTCTAAGTCAATGATAAATGTTCTCTTTAAATCTTTTAAAAAACGATAAGAGGGTGAGCACGAGCATGCTAAACACACACACACACACATTTAGAGAGAGGTATGGAGGAAGAAAGAGAGAGAAAAGGAGACAAGAAGAGGGTGAGCACGCAGAGCTTTCTAGCATGAGCATGCTAAAAAAGGGAGCCATGTGTGCTCACTCTCTTCTGTCGCCTTCCTTATTGTTATTCACTTACCTCCTCAACTAATATATTCATCTTCATGCATGCATATGATCTTCATGTTATATCAGCCACGATCCCTAAGTTTAGTTTTCTCTCTATCATATGATGATATATGAAACAATTGTCTCTGGTTTTTAGGGTGTATATAAAGGGTGTGTGACAATGCATGCAGGCATCATCATCCACTAGCTACGTTTAACTTACATAAACATGATGCCGGATTAACCCCTATTTCTTGTCAATTTGAGCATCTAGATTCTCTTTCTTTTCAATATTATATATACAAGTATATAATTAAATACTCTTAACTGATTTAAAACGAGACTTTGTTATCTGCTCTAAGATATGTTGGAGTATATGACAAAACAGAAACCCAATACAACTCACTCAAAAGAGTTGAAAATTCGTTGTTAAAGACCCAAAAAAGAGAGTGAATAAATCGTAAACGGTCGAATTGGTTTCATATGTTTATATGGTGTAGATATATGCATGTTTATTTGAGAGTGAAAAATCCACTTGAAACGACATCAACTTAACTATATACATACATCGCTTTATATCTATGTTAGAGATTCCCAAACTCCAGATCTCTAGAACTCACACTGGTCCTCCAATTAGAGAACAAGGGAATAAAAAGTATCTTTTGAAAAGGACGAATGTAAAATCGAAACGTAAGCCAAAGAAATTGATATAGAAATAGAAACAAAAGCGAATATTACTAAAGATTTGGAGTATATTAAGTAAAGCCAAAAAGATGCTTAGGGTAATGAATCATGAACCTCCTCAGTCCTCACACTAGTTTTTTATATTGTTTTTGCATTTGATTTTATTTGATTCTCATCCCACATTCCCTTGTTGTTGCACGCAATCACAACATAAGCGGTGCCCCTTAATCAATAGTATGTTTCTTGCATTCGCCTACGTTTCAAGCAATTAAATTACACGAGGGGTTTATTGTACAATAAGAAACCTAGTGGAAAGAATAAAAATATTTGACTAACTTAGGGACTAAATGTAAACTTAATAGAAAGACCACTACTCGGCCCGGTTTAGGGATTTCTCCTCCTCGTTCGTCTTCTTCTCTTCTCCAAGACGAAACCACTGGTGGTGTTATCGCCGGTGATCTGCAACCGAGAGTAACTCAGAAGAGAAATGTACGGAGACGCTACAAACTGGAATGAAGATGAGTATAGAGAAGCAATTCTGAAGGAACGAGAAGTACAAACACGTACAGTGTTTCGAACCGCCTGGGCTCCTCCGGCGAGAACCCCTAATCCGGACGCCTTTGTCGTCGCTTCCAGTGATGGAACTTTAGCTTTACACTCTATGAACTCGCTCGTGACCCAATCGGCGGGTTTTGGCTACTCGAAAGGTCAGGATGTTATGGTGGCTGAGCCTGAGGGAGTGGTAAAGGCACACGAGGGTCCCGCTTATGATGTCAAGTTCTATGGAGAAGACGAAGATGCTTTGCTCCTCAGGTAGATTTAAAACCATCCTTGTTTGATTTGATGATTGGTAATTCGAAAGCTCGAATACAAAAATCAGAGATTGATTGAAGAATTGGGCTAATTATCGGTGTGGGTTTGTGTAGTTGCGGTGATGACGGTCGAGTTCGGGGATGGAAATGGAAGGAATTTGGTGAATCGGAGTCGTCTCTTCATTTGCAAGGTGTGTACACCTTTTTTGTGGTTTTTGAGATAAAGGAAGCTTCTTTTTTTTGAGTTTGAAGATTGAGAGCTTAGTGCTTCGTTCTCTTTGATATGATCTACAGAGAATCATGCGAAGCCATTGCTTGAATTGACTAATCCACAACACAAGTGAGTCTTTTCATTTGAGACTCTCTATTCAACTGATTTTACAAATGCGTATAGTGACCATTCTTTTTTTCATTTCTCGTAGAGGTCCTTGGGGTGCTCTTTCACCGATGCCTGAGATCAATGCCATTTCTGCTGATCCTCAGGTTGGAAATTTTCTTTAAATTTGGTAATTAAACTTGATGAAATGTAGTATTCTGAATCCGAGGTGCTTGGTTTTCGTTTATCATAGTCAGGAAGTGTATTTACGGTTGCTGGTGATTCTTGCGCATATTGCTGGGACGTGGTAAGTAGTTGATTCATGGTGAATGTCTATTGCTGGATTACTACATATGTGATATTGAGATATCTGAAATTTCTAGTGTCGTTTATGTTCATCCCACGTTTTCAGGAGAGTGGTAAAATCAAAACGACCTTCAAAGGGCATTCAGACTATTTGCATTGTGTGGTTTCTCGTAGCTCTGCAAGTCAGGTAATGTTTCTTTCCATAAATATAACAAGGTGCACCTTCGTATTGGAATTTGAGTTGCACGTTTTGGATTTGGGACTGATAGTGTTAAGTCTCTTGAACCAGATATTGACGGGTTCAGAGGATGGGACTGCAAGAATCTGGGGTATCTTTCTCGGGTCCATTTTTCTTCCCGCTTTACTCTCTAGTGTGTATGTTTGGATTATTTGTGGGTGTAGAGCTATGCTAAATCATCTGAGTCTTAATGTTGGTAAATTGACATGTAATGCTTCTAAGTTTTTGTTGACTGCTTCTCAAAAAAATTTAAGATTATTATTGTGGTGATTACAGCACTTTCCACTATGTCTAGATTAGTTTCTGGTTCATGTGGTATACTTTAATTTTTGAGACTAAGCTTTGTATGCTCAATGGTTTTCTTCTGTTTTGTCAACCAGATTGCAAAACAGGGAAATGCATTAAAGTAACTGGTTCCCAAGATAAAAAGTCTCGCTTTCGCATTAGTTCTATGGCTCTCGATGCAAGTGAAAGCTGGTTGGTAAGAATCTAGCAAATGGGTTGTTGCCTCCAATATCCTAAGCATATAATTCGTTTTTTTCTAAAGGAGATTAAAGAATGGTATTTACTGTTATTGCTATGATTTCTCTCTATTTCCAGGTTTGTGGACAGGGTAGAAATTTAGCTTTATGGAATCTTCCTGCCTCAGAATGCGTATCAACAATATCCACCCCTGCACATGTACAAGATGTAATGTTTGATGAAAAGCAAGTAAGCAGAAGTGTGTTATCTAAAGCCTTAGAGGCAGTAGCTGTTATTTGCTTACCAGGGGACGAACACATATAGTTTTAGTTCCTTGTAAAGATTGAATATTTTCTTTGTTTTTAGTGTTGTCTTTATCTAACAAGTATCCCACAATCAGATTTTGACTGTAGGAGCAGAACCACTTCTAAGGCGTTTCGACTTAAATGGAGCTTTGCTTTCTCAAATCCAGTGTGCTCCTACTTCAGTCTTTTCAATTTCCTTGCATCCAGCAGGAGTATGTTTCTGATCCCTTTCGCAACACGTTTTTTTATCATATCGCTTTGTTATTGTAATGTAATGTGAATCTGTTACCGCTTGTTTGTAGTAGAGAGACTCTCGATGTTTCAGCGGTTGATCCAATGCTTGTTTATATTGTAGGTAGTTGCTGTGGGAGGTTATGGAGGTCTTGTTGATGTCATCTCTCAGTTTGGAAGCCATCTCTGCACATTCCGTAGCAGCTCACTGTGAAAATCCTTGCAAGTTACAGTTTCTCGGTTTGGCCCAATAAGAGGTGTTGAAATTGGGATGCAATATATTTTGAACATTTATCGGCTAACAACAAAATAGTTTTTTTTAATCATTTATCATTTTAGTACAAGACTTTTTCTGTTGATAATATGCTTTTAAAATACAAATTAAACGACGCATAACTATTTGAATAAATGAATCAGTAATTGAGTTTATCTTGTTCAAATATTTAATTTTAAAAGTCTGATAAGAAAACAAGAAAACAAAAAAGATCACCCACTGGCAAAATAAACGTTGGCAAGAAGGTACTTAGATGTTTTTATATAGATCATCATTAGTACAGATAATTTTTCCTAAAAATGCTTATGCCCAAGGTGAAGGGGACAAAGAGAGAGATTTGAACACCAATGCATGGCATTTTTATTTCCTGACAGTAACAGTCTTCCTGTTCCAATGAGATTTGGTTTTATTTATTGCAAAACCTCATCTATTCTTTTTGTATAGTATAACATTAAAATTTAACATGATTGTGAAATCCAACCAACTGTATTGATAAGAAAGCTGATCAACTTGGCTAATTATTATGTAGAGAGATTGCATTTAGCGATTGATACTAAAGAATATTGGTTTGACATTGATATTTCTTGCCATATATAGTCTGTCCTTCTCGGGTGGGGTTTTATGTCCGGAGATATCTATTTTCTGCCTCACTTTTCTAGGATTACGCAATCTTTGACAGTTTATAATATTGAGTATCCTAGCAATTAGAGGCCTTATTACGTAACATGTTCTAAAGCAGCACCACCGAAAGATTGAAAAGGAAATATATATTTTTAAACTCAGTCCGTTCTTAACATCAATTCAATCGGTGAGAATAGGTTGTGTTCACGTGTGTATGCATATATTTTTTGACAAAGCTATGCAAGCTATGAGGCTGAGATTGTTAGAATACGTGCATGCATGATCCTTGACATACCTCCACTCGGATAAAGCAATTGTATGACTCAGATGAATACTTTGAGTGCATGGTGCTAGAGAGACGGTTGAAGGAGTCTCCATTGGAAAATTATACGACGCTTCTTCTTCCGGCCGGTATGGATTCAAGCCAACAATGTAAGTGTAACATTCGTTACATTCCGATTAATTTATTATATCATGGTCCTGCAATGTAGATTTGGTTGAAGAGACATCTTATATATAGTGGGTCAAGTCCTCAAAAAACACTTTTCTATCTGAGTAAAGAGTGCGTAAAAGTTGGCCTACTCTTTCATGTTTCAGCAAAGGTAGAAGGATCCAAGGCAGTGCAGTTTCCGACTGCAAAATTTGTAAGAATATTGATCCGTTTAGTTTAGAAAGTGTAAGAAAAATCCTTTTTGGTGTCAGTTTTGTTGTGAGGCTGATTCTGTTTTCAGTTTTAGTCTTGTTTGGTTTTGGTAATAAAACCAAAGTTCATAAGGAAAAGGAAAGTTACTACAAGAAGGAAAAAGAAAGTGAAGATAATTGGGAAAAGGAAGTTCTCCTAGTCGCGATAGGAGTCTTAGGTTCTCTTCTATAAATACATGTCATTGTCTCTTCTTTTCTCTTTGTATCGAACAAGCTCTTCCTTGCTCATTGATTCTTAAAGCTTGGTTTTAGAGCTTTGTAAACAGTTTCCAAATATTAGTGAATTGCCGAATCGAATCGGCCCCAGAGTAGGTTCAATCATATCGATTGGATTGAGCTGGGAAAACAAATCTCTTGTGTCTTTGTTCTTGCTTTTACTTTTGATTCTTAGAGCAAAGTTAGTTGAGAGATTGTGAGGATTGTGAGTTCTATTTTTTTAACAAGTTTAAAGTTTAAACCATGCAAAAATTAGGATTTATATTTTAACTAGAAAAAACCTTATGTATCAATGAAAACGTTTACGGATTAATCCTAGTATATAAAAACTCGAACTATATCTCTAAAAAATAAAAATATTAAAGTAATTAAGTATTTTAAACAAAATTATCCTGCTAAACCACACTTCTTTTGTTTTTTTATGGTCAACAAATCACTTGATTTAAACAAAATTATCCTCTTAATCTTCTTCACTAATAAAAAATGCAACACATAATATTATAATATATCTAAAAGATAATTTTTCATATTAAGATACTAGTATATATCAAAAACATATTTTTTCCAAATTTAAATTTCGTATTCTTTAATTATATCCAAAATAATCCATAATCATCAAATCTAAAATTACATTTAGAATATATCATTGAATAATATCATCCAAATTAGTAAATTCTACCAGCTGTTATGAAAATATTTGGGGTATTTTGGTGGCAAATGTTATGAAATATCACCAGCTGTTATGCAGAAAAGGATAAATCAATAAATATTTAAGAAGATATTTCAAATAAAGAGAACAATAAGAGAAAATATATATAAAAAAAAAATATCCCCACCGCTTCTCAATTAAGCTCCCGTCACCATTGTTGTCATCTTCCTCTCTTCTCTCTCGTGAATCTTTGTTTTTCCTTCAATTTCTATTAAAACTTTGCTTCTCTTTCCAGGAAGGAGACACGATCAACCGATTTCTTAGCATCCTCGTGCTCTTTCCTTTTTTCAACAATCTTCCCAAAATCCACTTTTTTCTTCTCCCCTTTAGATTCTGATTCTCTACGGCATCTTTTACCCTTTCCTTTCTCCTCCATTTCCTCTGCATGCTTTTCGATTCTCTCTGTCGCCTTCTTCTTCTCTCGTTTCTGTAACCTACTCTCTGCAGCTGTTTTGTTCAACGCTTTGAAAATGTCGATTTTGGATTCTGGAGGCGTCACTACGACGACGGAGAACGGTGGCGGAGAGTTTTTGGATCTCGATGATAGGCTTCGTCGACGGAAATCGAGATCGGATTCCAATGGACTTCTTTCTGATTCCGTATCCGGTGCTGATACTTCTCCGTCAGATGATGTTGGAGCTCCGGCTGACCTGAGGGATCGGATTGATTCCGTTGTTGAGGACGCTCAAGGAACAGCGAATTTAGCTGGAGGTAGCGGCGGAGATACCGAAATTAAGGAAACCGGTGGAGGAAGAGGCGGTGGTCAAGGAGGAGGAACCACCGATGCAACGTACACGTATCGGCCGTCGGTTCCAGCTCATCGGAGAGTCAGGGAGAGTCCACTCAGCTCTGATGCAATCTTCAAACAGGTAATCTCAGCTTTTTTCTGTCAAATGATGAATTGAGTTCATATCTCAGCTTGCTCTTGCATTGAAGAAATTCGAGTTTTTTCATATGACTTGAGTTTGTGATTGTTTTCAATGGCAGAGCCATGCCGGATTGTTCAACCTGTGTGTAGTAGTTCTTGTTGCTGTAAACAGTAGACTCATCATCGAAAATCTGATGAAAGTAAGTGACTTCCTTCCTTGAAAGTTGAAACTTATTACCCTTTTCTAAAGCTGAGAACTTTAACAATTGTTTGTTGGTATCGTTCATGTAGTACGGTTGGTTGATTAGGACTGATTTCTGGTTTAGCTCAACTTCGCTGCGAGATTGGCCACTGTTCATGTGTTGGTAAAATATCTTCTTAAATCCAAAATGTCACATTCTTATACACATAGTGATGAGTTTAGTGAATCGTTATCGTTAATTCTTGTGTTGCAGTATCTCTCTTTCGATCTTCCCTTTGGCTGCCTTTACCGTCGAGAAATTGGTACTTCAGAAATGCATATCTGAACCTGTGAGTAAACTACTCTTCATCCATTACTGGATTGTTTACTGAAGACAGAAATTGTGCCCTGAAGAACTTATAACTCTTTTCTGATAATGCTGCAGGTTGCCATTATTCTTCATATTGTTATCACCATGACAGAGGTTTTGTATCCAGTTTACGTTACACTAAGGTGAGAATTAAGCTGTGGTCTCTCCTTGTGATGCTGTGTTTAAGTTTATTTTGACTGATTCGATGATCTTGAAAATGGACAGGTGTGATTCCGCCTTCTTATCAGGTGTCACACTGATGCTCCTCACTTGCATTGTGTGGCTAAAGTTGGTTTCTTACGCTCATACTAGCTACGACATAAGAACGCTAGCTAATTCAGCTGATAAGGTGAATGATTAAGAAACATATAGTTAGTTACTTGCATTCTGTTACTTACTTTAACCAGATACTGTTATTATAAACTTTAGGCGGATCCTGAAGTCTCCTACTACGTTAGCTTGAAGAGCTTGGCATATTTCATGGTTGCTCCCACATTGTGTTATCAGGTAATGAGATGCGTCTTCTGCTAATGCCATCAGATATTCTTACACTTGGAAAAGTTTCTTGTCTAAAACTTGCGTCTTTGCTTTCCTCAGCCAAGCTATCCACGCTCTCCATGTATCAGAAAGGGTTGGGTGGCTCGTCAATTTGCAAAACTGATCATATTCACTGGATTCATGGGATTTATAATTGAACAAGTTCGTTTTCAGCATCTTTGCTCTTTTTGTTTTATCATCATCTCTGCGTTGTCACCACTTGACTTCATGTTCTTTTGTACTTTCTTTGGCAGTATATAAATCCTATTGTTAGGAACTCAAAGCATCCTTTGAAAGGAGATCTTCTATACGCTATTGAAAGAGTGTTGAAGCTTTCAGTTCCAAACTTATACGTGTGGCTCTGCATGTTCTACTGCTTCTTCCACCTTTGGTATGTGGGATCCCTTCTCTTTTGACATAATTTCCAAAGAAGAACAGCAAATCTTTTAGTTTCTCATAGTCTTGAGATGTAGTTCAGCGAATCTTTTGCGTTGTTCTTGTCCACAGGTTAAACATATTGGCAGAGCTCCTCTGTTTCGGGGATCGTGAATTCTACAAAGATTGGTGGAATGCAAAAAGTGTGGGAGATGTGAGTTGTTATTAATCTTGTCTTACTGAAAAAGCATATGATTTTGTTTTGTTCTCATCGTTACGTCACTTAACTAACCAAAATCCATGTATTCACTGCCTTCCTCTTCCTCTATCAGTACTGGAGAATGTGGAATATGGTATGGTGTTCTCTTCCTAAAACATTAACTTTCATTTCTTTTCAAAACCAAAAGAGAAGAAAAGAGCTAATGGAGATCTTGTATTTCTTAACAGCCTGTTCATAAATGGATGGTTCGACATATATACTTCCCGTCCCTGCGCAGAAAGATACCGAAAGTGAGTGATTTGCTATGATGGAGATTATTTCCTCTGCTTTATAACTTTTAACTCTCGACTCGTATTTGTTTTCCAGGTACCTGCCATTATCATTGCTTTCTTAGTCTCTGCAGTCTTTCATGAGGTATGTGTACCTTCTGCATCTCTAGACACATGAACGAACACTCTATTGTCAAAAGCATTGTTCTTAGTAAACAGTCTTGTGTTCACAGTTATGCATCGCAGTTCCTTGCCGTCTCTTCAAGCTATGGGCTTTCATGGGGATTATGTTTCAGGTAAACAAATTTCACAAAACAATGTGGAAGTTCCTCTCACTCTTAGTCTCATTTTTCTGACTTAAGAAATGTGTTTTGAGTAGGTGCCTTTGGTATTTATCACAAACTATCTACAAGAAAGGTTTGGTTCCATGGTATGCTCTCTAAACTCGAAAGTCCAAATAACTCGTTTCTGATTCATAGCCTTTTAAATCCAGTCTTTTAGTTTGTTGCTGAAACTTAATCTGTTTTGGAATGTGTGATGATTAGGTGGGCAATATGATCTTCTGGTTCGTCTTCTGCATTTTCGGGCAACCGATGTGTGTTCTTCTGTATTATCACGACCTGATGAACCGCAAAGGAACCATGTCCTAAAAAACCAGTCTCTAGAAGGAATGGTGTTTTTACCAAATTGTCAATCAAGGAAGAAAAGAAAAATAGAGTTGTATTTGCGAAAATTTTGCTTAGTGTTAAAGAGACGAATACTTTTGAGCTCTGAATTGTCTCTTTTCTGGATCTTGATCTGCTCTTTCTTGTCTTCAACTCCCGCATAAAGAAAAGGTTGATTTACCAAATAAATTTCAATCGAAAACTGTTGTACAGAAATTTCAATCAAAAACTTTTGTAATAAAATTGACTGCGATGGTTACCAAATACTGAGTGAAGTAAATGGTTTTTTCTTTATTTCTGCTTTTGGGAAACGAGATGGGGGGAAAAGTAAGTTTTAAGGTTTTACTGTTAGGACCAAATCGGGTAAAAACTTTTTGTCGACTTTTGAAGACAGATGTGACAGGTTGCATTGGGACTGTGTGAAATCAAATCAAGTTGATTGGTGTGGTCCCGTTAGTGGCATCCAACTTATGTTTCGCGTAATTGTTAAAACCGTATGTGTATATAAGGAGACGAGATTTTACACTTAAATAAACATCATACTTCGGATATATAAATCTTAGAATCTACAGAAAGCTATGAAAAGTAACATTTGATATGGCTACTGGATTGTATATCCTACAAATTATGTCAATATGAAAGGCTAATGTAGATAGGACTTTTAAGATGTGGTGCCAACTACCAAGTTATCAACTTTGTCTTGAGTTTTCTTACAAATCATTGACAAGTTTTCTATATTTTGTTTGTCAGCTTTCGTAACTAACTTTAATAACGCTCAAGTCTTTAGCAATTTGCATAGATAAATTATAAATAGATCCCACTGACATCTATTTCGGACATTTCAGCGTAATTGGATTTCTCGACTTGCTAATTGACTAGCTTCTCTTACAGTCGGTTAGCATGCATACATTTCGTATATATATATATCCATGATTAGCTAACACCTGATCAAACTGAAAAACAAAGAAAATTATAAAAATAAGTTTCTATTTTTGGACAAATGAAATGAAAAATAAGAGATTTATGTTAGGAATGCTGTAAACAAGAGATCACGTGGAGCAACTGTTCAAACATAGCAAGAAATTCAGTTGGAACTGAAGTAAATTACTCCACCGACTCGCCGACAGCTGCAACTGACTCAGCAGTCATCACCTCATGTTGACTTGGCAGTCTCTAATTAAATCTGTATATTTATGATTTAATAGTGACTATTTATTGACCAAAAAACAAATTGGAGTATTAAGTAACGTATGAATATTATTACTATTGAATTAGCAGAGTATTAATTTTCATACTGAGAAGGCTATCTGAAATTTGATTACTTTTGTTTTGTGCAGAAGAAATTTTAGTACTTTGTTCTATTAACAAATACACGTGAATCTACTGAATTAATGTATGTATATGGGACATTTTCCAAGCTTTATAATTACCATTTACCAGAGGAAATCAACATTAGCTATGTCATGGAAAGAGATAAAATAATTTATAAATATTGTTATTATCAAACAAATAATAATCAGATTTTTTGTAGAGAAACTGCAATACGTTAGCTTTCTTCTTCTTTTTATTTGCAGTTTTCTCTGATATAGTCGGTTTTATTACAAAATAACAGCAAACAATTTATTATTTGTTAATTTCATTAATCTTTCAGGAATTTTGACTATATATTTTCAAGAACAGTACATTCTTAATCACAAAAATCAGTCCCAAAAAACAAACATGACGTATATATAACAAAAGATTCTTTCCTTCTCGTAAAAGAAAGAAACAAAAACAAAAAGCCAGTCATCGACTTTTATTACAAAACCCTCCCCCACCATCACTTCTTCTTCTTCTCATCTTCTGAGTCCAAAAATGGAAGACTTCAGATCCAGATCGTACGCTGACGGAAGATCATCAGACCTTCAACAATACTCCACAAACCGAAGATCCGACGGTCCAGATTCACTTGGGGTTAACGGTGGTAATGGTATGCAAGATCTCAGGTCTTACAGCACTTCCTACACGGATTACCCCAACCGAGTACCAGAGGACCCGAATCCTAAGAAAGGAAGATCTTCTTCTTCTTCATCGTCCTCATGGGGATTTGTGGATCCAGATTTATTGAGGAAGAAGAGAGTTGTGAGTTACAGAGCTTACACCGCTGAAGGTAAGCTTAAAGGTTCTTTAAGGAAAAGCTTCAAGTGGATCAAAGATAGATGCAACAAACTGCTTAATTAAACCAATGTGCTTAACTGCTTATGATAATAAACTTTTGGGGTTTATTAATGTTATAAATTCGATGATTTGTGTGTGTTCAAATATCTTAGTTTGTGGTAGTGATTGTGTAAGAACAATAAATAGAGCTATAAGATGTTACCAAGAATTTTTATACTACTAGCTAGATTGAAGATGAGATGAGTGATTCATTCTTTTACATTATTTTTGGCAATATTCGTAACTGATCTGGTATTCAAAAATAATGACACGTTACATAATGAGGTCGTGAATGTTTTCTACATTTTTGTGTTTTTTTTTTTTTTTTCGAGAACTGAAATTCATTAAAAGTTAAAAGATACAAACTTTTGCACTGATCAACAAGCTGACCAGCAACTAAAAAGAAAGAACCTCCTACAACTCAACCTCCTAAAATAAGTAAACCAAGTGGTTAAAAAAGAGACAACTGAAGGAAGGTTACGCTGTTCACGAGACAGAGAGTCCAAACGAAAGCGAAGAGTCTGTTGGATTTCAGAAATGATCACTGAGAAAGCTTTTGTGTATTTTTAAAGGTGTAACTGATTGATTACACATTTTTATATCATTTGAAACACCCATAAGTTATTATTATCGTGTTCTTAGAAGTAGTTTTGTTTCATATTTTTTTTTTGGTAAAATAGTTTTGTTTCATATTGTGCGTGTCTAATGATATATCACGTTAGCATCCGCAATGGTCGGGAAAGTTAAATGTTAGTTTTTTTTGGAAACGGTACTTTAAATTAGTCTAGTTTTTTTTCCTATCTAGAATTATATTGTATTGAGAAAGGTGTTACACACCAATCAACCAAACCACTGAGACCATAAGATGAAAAACTAAGCGGGACGATATAAATAATCTCTCGAAGACAAGTTGGAGAAAAAATAACACCAGAAACGAAGCCCACAAAAGGGAAACTAAACCTTACAACACAACAACAATCAAACTAAACCTATGAAACTAAAGAAGAAGAAAGGAAAGATTCAAACCTAAATGAAGAACAACACCAACTCACACTATTACCAGCCAAAACCTGCTTCAAACTTCTGGAGAACCTTCAAAGAAACTTCACCCTCACCATAAATGCACACTCGACCAAACTACGGTCACAGAGACTTGAAACTTCCCTTCCCTGCAAGCACACAAACTACCTAGCAATTCAAAAACACTAGCCTTCCAACACGTCAAATAGTCCTAACTGGCATAAGTATCCAAGGCGAAATGAACTCTCGATCAGACATAAGATAACAACAGAGAGTAAAAGAGACCAAACCGGATTAACACCACAAGGTGAAAAATCGAACCAGAGAGGACCAAGAAATTTAAATTAGTCTACAAGTAGCCAAATATTTTGGAATAATGAAAAATTATAAAACGATGAAGTTTATACAAAATACAAATGATCTAAACAGTAAAAACACTACAAACATGGATTATTAAAAATAAAACAGATTAGAATTAAGATAAATAAAATAAGGATGACTGGAGGAAAACAGTTAGACCAAATTAGGTAAAGTATGTTAAGATCTGAGGCGAAATAAGTTTTGGGTAAATAATACATTTCAACGAATAAGGGTTTAGAGTATAAGAGTTAGGAAAAATAAAAAGCTAATAAATGATGAAGTTTATTAAAAAAAACAAATAGTTTAAAAAGTAAAAACAATACAAACATGGATTAAGAAATAAAGCAGGTTACTAAAACATGGACTAAGACAAATAAAATAAGGCCGATTTAGGGAAAACGGTTAAGCCGAATTAGAATTAGGAAAAACGGTCTAAGTTAACGGTGAATAAGGATGGGCAGGCAAATAAAGATTTAGGGTTCATAAGAATAGGGTTCACAAGGGTTTAGGGTTTATAAGGGTTTAGAATTCACAAGGGTTAGGGTGTACAAGGGTTTTAGGGTTTATAAGGATTTAGGGTTCACAAGGGTTTAGGGTTTATAAGGGCTTAGGATTTACGAGGGTTTAGGGTTTAGGGTATAAGAGTTAGGAAAAATAAAAAGGTAATAAATGATGACGTTTATTGAAAAAAAACAAATAGTTTAAAAAGTAAAAACAATACAAACATGGATTAAGAAATACAGCAGGTTACTAAAAGATGGATTAAGACAAATAAAATAAGGCCGACTTAGGGAAAACGGTTAAGCCGAATTAGAATTAGGAAAAATGGTCTAAGTTAACGGTGAATAAGGGTTTAGGGCAGGCAAATAAAGATTTAGGGTTCATAAGAATAGGGTTCATAAGGGTTTAGGGTTTATAAGGGTTTAGGGTTCACAAGGGTTTAGGGTTTATAAGGGTTTAGAGTTCACAAAGGTTTAGGGTTTATAAGGGTTCACGAGGATTTAGGGTTTACAAGGGTTTAGGGTTATAAAGGTTAGGGTTTATAAGGGTTTAGGGTTCACAAGGGTTAGAGTTCACGAGGGTTTAGTGTTTATAAGGGTTTAGAGTTCACAAGGGTTTAGGGTTCACGAGGGTTTAGGGTTATAAAGGTTCACAAGGGTTTAGGGTTTATAAGGGTTATTTACGAGAGTTTAGGGTTGACGAGGGTTTAGGGTTCACAAGGATTTAGGGTTTATAAGGGTTTAGGGTTAAACCCGTAAAAGCCCTAAACCCTCCTAAACCCTAAACCCTTATACTCTAACCCTTATAAACCCTAAACCTTTATAAACCTTAACCTTACAAACCTTAAACCTTTGTAAACACTAAACCCTTGTCTCTTATAAAACTTAAAAAATGTTAAAGAGTTTTCATAAATTATTAGTTTATAAAATATTTTGAAAAAAATGAAAAGTTATGTGCTACTTTGCTTTTTTTATTTACCACTTTACCATATGCAATGGGCGGATTTTTTTTATTTTCATTTGTTTTGATAAGAGTTCAGAATGAATTAGTTCTTTGGGAAACGGTGGTTTAATCAAGAGACCAGTTTAATTTCTTTTAAACTTGTACGATCCTTTGACCTTTGTCTCGTTTATTTTAGAGAGTTATCGAACAAATGTGTGTTCGTTAATTAAGCACCAAAGTGTGTCACAAACCTGCGCCAAAATTGGAGAGACCAAATTAAAAAGGATGTCAGAAGCAACTATCGAACAAACGTTTACACACATACACTAGTTAAACTTGATTGAGTAATAAAAAGTGAAGGTTGAATCCGATACTCATAATTAACAATTTCAGAAGAAAACACATCAATGAAGAGCTTACGAAACAAAAAATAAACGTTTCAAATGATACGGAGTAGAATCTCCTAAACAGTTACGTTTCTTCTCCTCATGTTTTCTCTTGACTGTTTTAATGGCTTCTCTAAGAGCCTCACTCTAAAGCTTAGTGTATTAACCTGACCAATCCCATTTAACCAAATTAGATTAACAGCAGGAAAACTAACAATGTACAACATGTAATTAATTAAGCAATGTGAACAAGTAAATGATTCATTGAACAAAACAGACAAGTCTAAGATCACTCTCTCACTCTAAGCGCATCAATCTTACTGAAAATAGAAAATCTTGGAGAAAAGATAGAAACAATGTACATGTATACTTAACTGGAGATGTAAATGAAAACTTGGGGGAAGAGTGAGGAAAGATGTTTCAGGTACCTCCTTTTGAGTTTTGCTCAGTTCACTAATCTCTGATCCTGCAAAATTGTAAAGCACTCAATACGATCAGTTGGAGTGAAAAGAATGACTAAAAACAAGAAGTTTATTTTGGGAGATCAAACTCTCTCTGGTGGTGAATAAGAATAAGAGATGTGAGAGAAGGAAAAAACTAAGTAATATGCTAAAATATGTGAGAATCGATAAAATTTAAAAAGAAGAGCTCGTAACGGCTCATTTTTTGAAATATTACCGTTGTATTAAACAGTAATGAAAGATTACTGGAGGATTGGGCCTTTAATGGGCTCAGTCGAGTTTGCTTACGACTCAAATAGTGTTTGTTCATCAAAATCTTGTAAGATTTACATGTTCAAAACCATCTTGTATATTTTGTAGTCCACACAGAAACTAAAATAGGTTTTGGTCACAAAATCAAATCAAAGAAAAATGCACTTGAGAGAAGGATCTTAAATTCGAGAAGGTTTCTCTATACAATGGATGAGACAAATGAACATCTCAAGATCCATATTTAATAACGTTGGTATAAATAAATCTCTATCTCTCTCTTATATCAAATCTCTAACTGTTTACCAAAAAAAAAAAAAACTTTCTTCAGAAGAATCATAGACAACAAACTCTCAAAGGTTGAGACAAACAACAAAGTGAATACCGGTGTTGTCTTTAAAGAGTCATGTATGAATCAGTCTGAGAGCTTTGTTTTGGAATCTACACGAGTACTAGTAACAACATCGTCTCCATTTGATTGCGGCGATGGTGCAGTCTCATCGCCTCCACTGTTACTGATCCGCAAGCCATTAACGCCTTTGAGTGCGGATTCATAGTTTGCATTGTCACTCCCACCAACACTGAACGGCTCACGACTACTTGAGTCCACAACTCGTCTTGATGATGATCCTTCTGACCGACCCAAGTGGAAGGATCCAGGTATCTGAGAGTTGAATGGATCACATGATGAATTAGTAACTAAGGAACTCGAGAAGAGAAGAAGCATGGCAACAAAACTTACCAGCGTGTCCTTTGCAATTGCAGATTCATTCACGTTCTTGGTCTTCTGCTTTAGGGTGAAATCCGGATTTGTTCTCTGATTTGGGACATCTATGGCAGACAAACACGTCCTTTAAGTATATACACAACAATGTGGCAAAAATGCATTTGCTCTCAAGGAACAAGCATAGAGAGTTACATACCTGGACGCTTCTCAGCATTGTTGACCGCAGGGTTAAGTCGAGAACTGGTTCCAACGCCACCATCCTGACAAAAGAAGCATTGTTTAGTTGTTCTGTATCATGAATGGGATGCAAAGTTCAAAGAAGCAAGAGTGTATACATTGGCACGAGGAGAAGGGTTTCTAGATTGTGATTGCTGATACTTTAAAACCGTCCAGTCAAACACAAAATCAAACTGAAAACCTGAGAACAGACAACAAGTTAGGTGTCAACAGAAGCTTCTGTGTGAATTTGAGGAAGAGGAAAAAGAGAAAAATGAAATGACCTTCGCGGATGAAAAGGTTACGGAAGAGTCTCTTCAAATATGCATAGTCTGGCTTATCATCAAACCTAAGCGACCGACAGTAATGGAAGTAGGATGCAAACTCTGTTGGATGACCTCTGCATAACGCCTGAAAATTCATTGATTCAAAGTTACAGTACTCTCTCTATATAAATCAACCTTCTCTACTTCATCATAAGTTACTGAAAGTGAACTATTTGAGAAGAAAACTTACTTCGATGGAAGTAGAAACCTTCTTTTCACTAATCTTGTCGTATTTCTGTTTCTTGTTCCCAGCTTTCAGCCCCTGCCATGGGAGACTACAAGAAAATATAGGATGAGAGATGGATTGATAGAGAAGAAACAAAGATAGAAAGAAAGAAAGATTACGCAAAGAAGACTCACATTCCCATGAGGAAGTACATGAAGATATATCCAAGTGATTCTAGATCATCCCTCCGACTTTGCTCTATCAATTACAGAATAAACAGAAGATTGGAATAAGAAAAATTATCCCATTGAAAGAAGAGAACAAAGATCTGCAATTATCAGGAGGTTTTGGAGTATACCGATTCCTATGTGAGTGTTCAAGCTGGCATACCTCGGAGTCCCAATTAGACTTTTATTCTCCCTGAATAACAACAAACTCACTGTCAGAAAAAAAAAATCTGAATCTGACATCAGATTTGCTGAAAAAGGTGAAACTTGTTACCTGTATGGGATATGTCGGTGAGTGGAGCTGTCTCTATATTTCTTAGCCAAGCCAAAGTCTATAATGTAAACCTACAGAGACAGAACAAAACAGTGAGGTCCCAAAATCATAATTAATGTTGGAGCTAATGAAAGTAAGAAAGAGAACCTGATTGGCTCGCCTTCCCAAACCCATGAGGAAATTATCAGGCTTTATATCACGATGAAGATACGACTTCGAATGTATAAACTCGAGACGATTCAGCTGTCAAAAAAAGGTTCTTTTAAAACACCCACATTGATAGTTACAACTTACAATGCAATATCAATCAAATCCACAGAGCATAATATACCATTTGATCAGCTAGCATGAGAACAGTCTTCAAAGTGAATTTCCGGTTGCAGTAACTAAAGAGATCTTCAAGGCTTGGACCAAGCAAATCCATCACCAGAACATTGTAGTCTCCTTCAACACCGTACCATTTCATGTTTGGAATCCCAGCTGCATTATTCGTCATAACATAACAGATGAATAAACCGCAAAACAGCTACAATTTAAATGAGAATTCATAAAAAACAAAAAAAACATGTCTTACTCCCTCCTTGAAGAACCCTATAAATCCTCGACTCATATGACAATTGCGGATGCGCAGTCTTCACACTTTCCTGCACAATTACACCGTAAAAATCCAATTTTTCAATGATCCAAACCTACAAAATTGGGACTTTAATTTCAAATTTCAAACACTCACCAGCTTAATAGCGACCTCTTCGTTAGTCTGGACATCAGTTCCTGCAATCATCAAATAAAAAAATCGAAAGTGAGACACAGTTAAATAAGAAGAGATTGTTCAATATGACTAATTGACCTTAGTTTAAGAATCCATACCGAGGTAAATCTCTCCGAATGAGCCGCTGCCAATTTTCCGGCCAAGCCGGAACTTACTCCCGATACGAGGTTCCATCGAGAATTAACACCGACGACGACTGTGGAAAACCCTTAAGTTCGCGAAAAACGCGGAGCAAAGAGGGTTTTCACGGAGAAGAGGAGGCGAATTCGACTAGTTTGCTGGAGAAATTGGAAGAGTGATTAGGTGAGGAATTTAGAGAGAGATTAAGGGAGTTGAGAGGAAAATCCAAAGACAAAGAGGAAGATGAAGAATACCTCCGCGTGTCGCTTTCCTACTGGTCTTTCTCTTTCTTCTTTTCTCTTTTCTTTCATTCGAAGTCTAATTGTTTTTTTTTTTTTTTTGTGTTTTAATCTCTTTCTCTCAGTGTGTCTTGCTTGAGAATCGAACTTGTTACGCGTTGCAGTGCAAATATAATGTTTTGCTCTGTAACATTTTTAAAAAAAAGAAGATATATATATATATATATATATATATATTAAAGAAATATTCTCTACGAATTCTATAAAAAAATTGGCATATCTTTCACATATTTTTCTTTTATAATTCAAATATAAGATAATGATTAAATTCGATTTTATAGGCTTAGTATCTATCTTGGCAAGATATTTGAAATCACTAATTAAATTAAATACAAATCAGTCTCTTTTTTTTTTTGGTAATGGAAATCAGTCTCTTTTTTTTTAGTCAATGTTTTTATTTTTTAATTTTCTTCGGACAAAACACAAATCAGTTTATGTAATGAGTTTGGGCCTCATAAGGACCAAACACGGCTTTAACTATTTCAGTTTAATCAAATTACGGAAACAAATATTAAAATGAAGGAAAAAAAAAAAGATATTGCCGCTTAGGTCTTATAAAAGTGATCAGTTATAATTTCTCACGAAAGTCTTTTTCTCGCTTACTATCCCCAAAATCTAGGGTTTTAAGGTTTCTTATCTTCCTCTTCCTCCGCCAGATTCTTTTCTTGCGAAGATGAGCAACGACAAGGACAACTTGAACATGAGCGATCTCTCCTCCGGTATATTTCTATCATATTACTCTTGAACGACACCTGTTTTCATTTGTCTCTCTTTTCTTCTAAATTGATTGAAAAAGCTTTCTCTTTTGTGTTTGCTGTGCAGCTCTTAACGAGGAGGGTCGTGCTGGGCTTGTTAATGCTCTTAAGGTGAGTTTTAACTGACGATTTGGGTTTTTATTGCTGCTCTTAAGGAATTGTTTTCACTTTATGGGTCATAGAGTATTTTCTTTTCCTTTGGAATATTGTATAACCGTTAGTAGAGTTGATTATATCAAGAATGATTTTAGAGCAATGGAATTTTGGTTTGATTGAGAGTTGTCATTGTATCTTAATTTGATTGTTAATTTGTGTGTTTGTGCAGAACAAGTTGCAGAATTTGGCTGGACAACATTCAGATGTCCTCGAAAACTTGACACCGACGGTCAGGAAGCGTGTTGAGGTTCTAAGAGAGATCCAAGTGAGTGGAATTTTCATCTAGATGATTATGAATTAGTTGGCTGCTTTGTCTGATGCGACTTGTTGGAGTAAACTCATCTGATTCCTTGTTCATTTTACTTTTGCAGAACCAATACGATGAAATGGAAGAGAAATTCTTCGAGGAAAGGGCAGCTCTTGAAGCTAAATACCAAAAGTTATATCAGCCTTTATATACCAAGGTTTGAATATTGTCTTTGATTACGTTGTCGTTAGCTTCTTATTAGCAGTATGTCTTGTTATACATGAAGCATCCGCTGTTAAAACTTCTCTTTGTTGCTAATCAATAGTGATTGTATGTTCTTTACTTCCTTTCATGCCATTCGTGATTGATTATAACTGCTATTGATGGTTTTCTGCTCTCCTAATGTCTCATTCTCATACAGCGATACGAGATTGTGAACGGTGTGGTGGAAGTTGAAGGTGCACCGGAAGAAGTTAAAGCAGAACAAGGAGAAGACAAAGCTGAAGGTGTGTTATCAGCTACATATCACTGAACTCGGTTATGTTTTCAGTAGTGGAAGTAAGTTTCTAATGATTACGAAAATCTGTTTTTGTGCAGAGAAAGGAGTACCTAATTTCTGGCTTATTGCATTGAAGAACAATGAAATTACCGCTGAGGAGGTTCGTTGTTAGGACACTCTCTTTTGTTTTTGGTCTGAAAAGGGCGGTTCTGTTTAACTCAATCTCTCCTTTTGTCCATGATTGTAGGTAACCGAGAGAGATGAAGGTGCTCTCAAGTATCTTAAAGATATCAAGTGGACTAGAGTTGAAGAACCAAAAGGGTTCAAGCTCGAGTTTCTCTTTGATCAGAACCCTTACTTCAAGAACACTGTCTTGTCCAAGACATACCACATGATTGATGAAGATGAGCCTATCCTCGAGAAGGCCATTGGGTAAGAAATATTTAATCTTCTGCTTTATCCTCTACTGTATCTACTGTTTATTGTTTCTTAAGACAAGAGATGTCTTATTGATCCTTGACTAATGTTCAGGACGGAGATTGAGTGGTATCCTGGAAAATGCTTGACTCAGAAGATCCTAAAAAAGAAGCCAAAGAAGGGATCCAAAAACACAAAGCCGATCACCAAGACTGAGGACTGCGAGAGTTTCTTCAACTTTTTCAGTCCACCTCAAGTTCCTGACGACGACGAGGATCTTGATGATGAGATGGTATGTGGTCATCCCCAAGAGTTAGTTTAATTTCCGATTTAGTACTTGTGAGAATGAGTTTTAACGTTAATCTTGCACAGGCTGATGAACTCCAGGGACAAATGGAGCAGGACTACGAAATCGGGTTTGTACCTTTCATCTTCAAATGTCTTTGCTTTTGCTATATTCAGTTATAGGATCTGAATCTGTTGTCCACTGTTTATCCTGTAGATCAACCATTAAAGAGAAGATCATCTCGCATGCTGTGTCATGGTTCACTGGTGAAGCTGTCGATCCAGACGACCTGATGGAAGATGATGAGGAGGAAGAGGAAGATGATGAGGAGGAAGAGGAAGATGATGAAGATGATGATGAGGAAGATGAAGACGATGACGAGGAAGAAGAGCAAGGAAAGAAGAACAGAAAGAAGGTAGGCAACATTTGGTTTGATTGATTGCTATACTCTGTTTCTTATATAAGATTAAGCCTCTCTAAAAATCTGTGTTTGTGTTTATTTATGTGAACAGAAGGCTGGAAGAAGTAGTCAAGTTGCGGAAGGTCAACAAGGTGAGAGGCCACCGGAGTGTAAGCAGCAGTGAGGAATCTTCTTCTCCGGTGAAAAGAAGAGTCACGTCTTTGAGTGGGTGGTGGTTTTCTATAAAAAGAATTGGTTTTTTGGTTTGTTTTGGTTTGCATCTTTTTTTTTCAATTGTAATGTGTTCTCTTCTCGGTGAACTGGTTTTTGAGCAATATTAATATGATTATGTCGTTCTGGTCAAATTTTGACTCATTTTTTTAATGCCTCTTTGTGAAATGGTTTGGTTTTAACTAGAAACTGCACTATGATAACCAACTGATTCTCCTTATTTCTTTTAACTTCACCAAATTAGCTTATAATGATCTTGTAAGGAATGTTGGTTGTTTCCCTCAAGAGTCATTAGAAGATTTACCAAACCGTAAAATTACTGAAACCGATCAATCTAATTTCTCGGTTTATATAAACCAACCAATGAGCTGGTTGATACGTCGGTTCGTGCTTCCCTTTGAAAACACTTGGACAAAACCTCCGTGGGGACTTGTGTGTTGTGTCTTGTGTGTGTCTTTGACAGGAGGGAAAACGAGAACCTAAAACCCTAAAAAACTCTTCATTTCTCAAGTTTTTTCTCTGCGTTTCTCTTCTTTCTCCAGTTCGAAATCCTGTTCGTATGATTCTGTCTTCTGGGTAGTTCGAAAATTCTCCATTTTTTCTGTTTACTCAGTGGAAAACTGCAGATAGAAGCTGCCCTTCCATGGCGAGAATAATCCGAAACTTGTCTTCACTGAGACAGTCTCTGTTCTCTTCAGAGGTATGTATACTGTTTCCGACTTGGCTACTGCGAGGAACAAAATTCTCTGATTAAGTAAACGAAAAATCCCAAATGTTGACTCTTTGTTGTCAAATCCGCTTTTTTTTTGCTTGAATTCGCTACCTTATTGTTGTTTCTGGGTTTTCTTTTTGCAGCTACTTAGTAGAAGTGCAGTCGGCACATCGTTTCAGCTACGAGGTTTTGCTGCCAAAGGTTAATTAAAGCTTTCACCTTTATGTCTATTGAACAATTTTTTACCGAAATTGGGTTTATGATTTTGATGAATTCTGATTGCTTTGGCTCATTGTCAATCTTAACTCTGCACTTGTTTCTCTTTTGAAGCTAAAAAGAAGTCTAAGTCAGATGGAAATGGATCATCTGAGGAAGGTTTGTCGAAAAAGGAGATTGCTCTTAAGCAAGCGATTGAGCAGATAACGAGCTCGTTTGGCAAAGGGTCAATCATGTGGCTCGGTCGCGCTGTTTCTCCTCGAGATGTTCCGGTTTTCTCTACCGGATCTTTTGCCCTCGATGTAGCTTTAGGAGTCGGTGGCTTTCCTAAGGTATATATATATATATCCCAAAAATTGTGTCTTTTTGAAGAGTCCTGTGTAGCTTCTTATTGTTCTGTTGATTGTAAATTCGGTAGGGACGTGTTGTGGAGATATACGGTCCTGAAGCTTCTGGAAAAACAACACTTGCTCTTCATGTTATTGCAGAAGCACAAAAAAAAGGAGGTTAGTTACTTGATTCTTCAGCTATGTTCTTTACACAAACCGTTTTTTTGTATTCTGAACGATGTTCTTTTGGATGCTGGCAGCGACATGTGTCTTTGTAGATGCTGAGCATGCTCTTGATTCGTCACTCGCTAAGGCGATCGGTGTAAATACAGAGAATCTGCTTCTGTCACAGCCTGATTGTGGCGAGCAGGCTCTTAGTCTTGTAGACACTTTAATCCGAAGTGGTTCCGTTGATGTTATTGTAGTTGATAGTGTAAGTGAGGTGACACATATTTTGGTCCGTGGCTCTATATAGTTCTCTCCTAACGACAAAGAGTGGTTTTGTGTTTACAGGTGGCTGCTCTTGTACCTAAAGGAGAACTTGAAGGAGAGATGGGTGATGCACATATGGCTATGCAAGCCAGATTGATGAGCCAGGCTTTGCGTAAATTGAGCCACTCTTTATCGTTATCGCAAACGCTTCTCATCTTTATAAATCAGGTTGGTATACAAGAACTTTGTTAGTTGATATATTTGTAGTTCAGTTTCCTGCTATATTTCCTTTGCCAATGTTTTTATGTTTCAGGTGAGAGCAAAACTAGCTACATTTGGAGGATTTGGAGGTCCGACAGAAGTTACATGTGGTGGAAATGCCTTGAAGTTTTATGCTTCTATGCGTCTGAATATTAAGCGAATCGGATTTGTCAAGAAAGGAGAAGAGGTTAGTATCCAAAACCTTCTAACAGATTTTGAGTTTCAAGCTCTTACTTTTTTCTTATCATCTCCTCAAGTTTGTGATGTGTCTATCAAAACTCTTCTTTGCCTCCTTAAGTTGTGATAAATACTAATCTTGAATTCTTGATTTTTGACTAAGAATTGTATATAAACTGCATTAGCTTCTGTTTTCAAAGCTATTACATTTACTATATTACGCCTTTTGTTTCCTTGGGTTTTATGTTTGTGATGTGTATTTAGTGTGTTAGAGAATCTGAGAGTGTATGCTTGTGCAGATAACGGGAAGTCAAATCCGTGTGAAGATAGTGAAGAACAAACTGGCACCACCATTCAGAACAGCAGATTTTGAGCTTGAGTTTGGGAAAGGAATCTGCAAGGCCACTGAGATAATCGACCTGAGCATAACGCACAAGTTCATTGCCAAAAACGGAACGTTCTACAATCTAAACGGGATTAACTACCGTGGAAAAGAGGCTTTGAAGAAGTTTCTGAGACACAACGAACCGGTTCAAGAAGAGCTCATGAACAAGCTCAAAGACAAGCTCATCGCCGATGAAGCTGCAGATAAGGAATCTGAATCTGAGGAAGAAGAAGATTCGGTGAGCGTTGTGGTTTCATCTGAGAACACAGATGATGAAGCACCACCACCAGCTCTAGTTGTTGCTGCTGCAGTGGTTGAAGCATGATCGGAAGAAACCTCCGGTGTAGTATAATAGTCTTCCTTTTGGTTTAATGCGGTTTGGACTCGGTTTACCTCTCTCCTCATGTAATTTAGGTGTGAGTTAATCACATTTTAACATATAACCTTTTGCTATGGGTGACAAATTTTTGTAGTTTTGGAGGGGAATGATAATGTTTGAGGAAAAACAGAACATTGTTTCAGTTAAAATCAAATCAGTTTTATTTCCATTAAAATAGTATTTATTTGTTTCATAGTTTATGCAAGCACATTTGGTGAAGAGGGTTTAATGATGTTTTTATAGACGTAGTTACAATCACACAACAAAAGAACAGCACACAACAACGTTTCATGACAAATCAATTGCTTGCCATAGACATAAGCTAACCGTAGCAAATAAAATAGACGTAACATTGTTGAAACATGTGCAAACAACACCAGTGAGTCTATCCTTTTAAGAGAAACTTCTAATTCCCCAAATAGTAATGCAATAATCAATGTCACTGAGTAGTGTTTTGAATCTAAGTTATGTCTAAATCGATGTGGACACATTTTTTCCAAAACACATTGTCTGAATACTAACTTCTGAAAGCAATCAATCTTAAAACAATTCCTAAAAGCAATTGCACCTAAACAAAATGACAATGCTGGAAAAAGATGCACCATATTAACCTTTTTAAACAATCGAAAATTCTTGCAACCCTATTTACATAGTTAGAGGTATATAAACCACAAAATAATCTTCACGAGCCACCAGGGAGAATAAATATGTTTGGCTGTAGTCTAGTACACTGTTCATTACTAATTCCGGTTGATCTTAAATCTTATAGTTCCTTACTTGTTCCGATTACATATATTTAAGTTACTTAATCAAAAGATATCTTGCCCTGGAGATAACAGTTTCTTGGGATCGAACAGATCTTTCCTCTTGGAAAAATCACTCCATTTCGATCCAAAATGCTCAATCCAATCTTCTTTTCTGGTGTAATGCATTAGATACTGCTTAATCTTAATACCCGACTTCTTGCAAAATCTAACTATCTTCTCGTTAACGCGTTCGACTTCTGGCAAATTATGTTGGTTAGCTGTTGGTAGTAGTCCGAATACATAAATAACATCTTCATTTGGTACCATCGCCGACATACGATTGTTCCATCTAACAATAACAGAAACAAAAAAAAGAATCATTATATCAAAGTTTTAATAATTTTTCTTGAAGATATATGATAATAAGAATAGAGAAAGCTTACTTATTTTGGTTTGTTGGATAGATGAGGGTAAGTCCAGAAGTCGAATTCTGCTTAAGAAGAATGTCTTTGATAGCACCTTCATGGAAATCAAGAATCCGAGATTTAGGGATGTAGAGGTTAAGCCATGGATGAGGAACTTCCCATAAACCCAATGCTCTAAGTCTCTCTTCTTCGGTTTTTACGCGGTCCAAGAAATCAAAGTAGGGCACGTCTTGCATTGTTATGAACCCGGGCAGGTAACTAAAAGAATTATTTAACTTGTCAATCACCTACAAAAATAATTAAAAATTTATATTGTGAATCATATTTGATAACGGATATGTGTACGTGGTGCAAAATGATTGATGTTACATGTAAGAAAGGACCATATGTAAGTTGTAGTACCTGGCTAATGATGGGAAGGTTAGGATCATCGTAATATTTGGCGACTTCGATGAGATAGATGATACCATGTTTCTTCACTAAATCGGCGACTTTAGGTTGATCGGACGGTGGGAAAAATGAGGTGTCTACGACGCCGTTTGACATCATCAGTTGACCTTCTAAATAGTCAACTCCAATATCATTGTCCATTGATATCAAACGTTCTTGGTCTTTTGTAAAAGCTGTGAAGTCACTGTACAGCATCTGAAACCATTTCACCTACACCAATATTTCATTCGAAAAGTTCACTTCTAATTAACACAGTAACACATATGTAAAAAAAAATACCACTACAAATAAACCATATTGTTTTCACATATTTTGTAATATTATTGTCTTACGTTGTAAGATTCAGCTAGTTAACAATCTCACCAAAAAAATTTGTAGTCTAGATTACAAAATTTAAGTGAATAATTAGTCTGCTAATTAAGAAGTTTTATTAAGCTACCAAAAAATTAGTTTGACTATAATAAAATAATATTATTGATTCACATCAGTTAGATTTGCAAGCATACGTCAAGATTTGACAATAACAAGTCCTAGGATTGTATATTATTGTATAATAAACAAAATATAAGCCATATCCTTTTTTTCATTCAACGCATAGATTTTGTTCAAATGAATGCAAATTGAGCCTTTGACTAGATTCCTTAATCGTACCAAATTACTTATATACCTAATCATAGTTTTGGGCTACCATATAAGAAACTTTCGTAAGTGATCCAGACGTCTCTAACTCTCTTTGTGTAAAATCACGAAATATTTCTTTATCAATATTATCCCAATATGTGGCCAACTAAATATCGTAATATATCCAGAATCATTTATAGCCTGTCAATACCGTGAACAAACTTACAATTAAATCCAATCCCAAAGACTAGTCAAATAACTTTCCTAATCAATTACACTAATTTGGCGCCAGATCAGCGACCATGAAAGGAAATGCATAGATTTTAGTAGAAAGAAACCAAAGGTGAGATTTGATGATACGTACCCTTTTAGGTGCATGGTTCAAAACAATTCTGGCTCTCGTTATTATTCCAAATTGACCCAAACCTCCTAATACTCCATAAAACAGTTCTGGATTTAGCTGTGGCGAGCATGTTAACATTTCACCGTTTCCTGAAATATATAAAAAAACCGTAATAATAATTAACAACTTAATATATAATATATCCATTATATATTTAAACCAATGCCTCAATTTCTCAAATTTCTTTTAAGCCTGACGTAATGATGATGTGTTTGAAAAAATAGTAAAAAAAACAAAAATCATAGTTGGAGAAACTGAAAGCGCACAAACTTTCTCTGGAATGGCCAAAAAAGTTCAGTTTACATGCGTCATGCATGAACATTAGAAAACTCCAAATATACACGCATATATTAGCATACTACCAAATGCAATGACCAAGTTAGTCATTAAAGATCTTAGATGCGTTACGCATTTTTTTCGTTTCCAAGATTCCATTGCGTGTGGTGCAAAAAGTGCAGTCGAACTATAAAAACATTAAAGATGCCACACCATAAGAAAAGTAATATTATAGAGAATTTGTTTGCTTTTGCGTACCAGTTATAACATCCAACTCAAGGACGTTACAAATTTGAGGGCCGTTTCTAAACACTTGGCCGCCGAGTCCAGTGTTTGACAGCGTTCCTCCGACGCTGACATGCAAATAATCCGTCCAAGAAACCGGCGAAACCCCTTTCTCCACCGTCTTCTTCTGCACATCTACCCATAGAGTCCCTCCCGCCACGTCAGCATACTTCTTGTCTTCCGAAACCACCACCCCAGAGAGACACGTCATGTTGATGACTACTCCGCCGGAGACGGAGGCTTGCCCGTTTAAGGAGTGGCCTTGGCCACGAGCCGCCACTTGGAACATCCTGTCTCCGTTGGCGTTAGCTGCATAGCGGAGGAGACGGGATATCTCAGCGGTGGAAGAGGGACAGAGAACCCCGCCTGGAGTCACGGTGGTGATGTTTCCGTAATCGTGAGAGGCGGCGGAGATGGTGGAAGGATCGGTGAGGAGGGTGAGGTTTAGGGATTTGGGTAGAAAAACCTCTGACGATTTGGTGAAACTCAAAGATAAGCAAATAAAAATTGTGATTAGAGTGCTCATTAGAAGCAGATTAGCCATTTTTCTTCTTCTTCTCTACTCTCTCGGATTGGAGGATGAAGAGAGACAATTATTAAAAAAAAAATGGATTGGTTATCACCTAAAAATAAAATATGTAGTGTAGTTTCAAGGTGAGGAAGATTAGCGATATATATCTATTAATGGCAATATATATATAAAATCTATCCGATTGTGGCAATATGTAGCATATGGCATTAAGTTTTGAAGTGGATTGAAATTTATATTTTTTGGCAAAACAGATAAAGATGTAATCATGAAAAATTCAAACGCTTTCAATTTATACTTCAAGAACAAATTTAGGCACATTCTCATGTTTGGATGTATAATAATTTCTTTTGTCTGTATTTTTCGTATTTATCTATAAATACTTCTTTTGATATGTATAGACTCGCTTTTTCAGTTACTCGCTTAAAAAGTCAGTCTTAAACTTTTTTTGCTTACTGAAGAGCCAATGCTGAACGCGGTCCTTGAAAAGTTTGAACGCTAATTAACAAACAAACAAAAGTTTATCAGAAATAGCAATATATATAACATTAAATTTTGAAATCATGAAAATGTAATTTGGCTGTAATTTTGTTTTAATATACAGGGATTTTTAACTCACTTTTCAATTATTCTCTTATTTAAATTAGCAAAAAAAACGTAGAAATTCCAAAAAGAAGAAGAATTTATAATGGAGCCATTGCTGAAAACAAGGTCCTTGACTAGATTGCACGCTAAAAACAAGAACAAAATTCATCAGAAATTGCAAGACGACGACTCATCTAGTCCTCTTGGTTATGGAAATTGATGATCTCCATTCGTCCACTTGCATTGCATGAAACCTTCTCAGAAGTTCCATAAGGATCGAAATGGAAACAAGCTTCTAGTTTGATGACCCATTGGTCAATTTGGGTCTTTGGATTGATTGTGACGAACCAGAGCTTTTCAGCCACACTTGGAACCACCTAACGACCATCAGCCACAACCAGACCGTACGTGCATAAATTAAAGTCGTCTGGTTCAAAGTCCATGTCTGATGTTCCCAATATCTCATTGGCTAGTTCTTGCAAGATTGTTAGCTGTGGGAATCAACACGTCTACGACTTTGTTGTTCTTCTCCACAGTGTGAAAAAGTTTGGAGCATTTTTCTCCATGGATGGTTGCATGTTTCACAACTAGTATGCTCTTATTGTCTGGTGCTCTCCCAGCTTCAG